AAAAATAACACTTTTAGCTTATCACTATAAAACAATTAAAAATACAGTTCATATTGTTGTGTTGCAATTTTATTGTTGGACAATAGCAAAGGATTTCTAGTCTGCACTCGGACAAGTTAGGCCCACACTTGTCTGTTGCAACCACAGGAGTCGCCCCCTGCTGGCCACCTGCACTGGCTGCACTGGCCGCAAGCTACGTCGCGTTTTACATCTAATTTCTAAAATTTAGAGCAGCGGCGCTTGCTTGCTTCGCTGGTGTATGAAAACACAACTGATTCGTGCAACATATCCATCACATAAGACAAAATAACATTACAGGCACTACCAATGAACACTAATTTACAGTAAGTTAATATTAAAAATGTACATATACACTGTGGTGGGGTGTGGTATGTGGCTCAGCTGTAGGGGAGGGGTGGTGTCAGGGGAAGGCTGACTGACACAGCTGATTTTCATGGTATAATTATGCCTTCCCTATTTGAGTGGGATGCCGGGAGAGGCGGCTGTAAAGCTGCCTAACCGGAGTGGCTGCAAAGCAGTGTGCTGTGGGTCATCATGTACACATAACTCATCTCATCCAACTCTTAGCAAAAGTATCCTAAAATGACAAAATTTGCGATTAAGAGGGTTGCAATACTGGCATAATGTTTCGGCTGTAACCTGAAAATTAAAACAATTTTCAGGTTTCCACTGTTCCATACCTGGAACAAAAGAAACAGAAAGAATAAGTAAACAGACATGCCACGCATAGCCACATATCCATATTTAATTACTGACTATCTATTGGTGCTGCTCATTTTTAGCTGTTGGCATCTGGAAAGACAGAAGCCCTGAAATATCTTCATTTCACCAAACCTTTAACATTCCAAAATGCCATGCTTTAAACTTTAAGATGTCTCTTTCCATCTCTCAATCATCTACGTGTCTTTCCCCCCCTAATTTCAGACCTGCTTTACTGCACTTCCTTCCTCTGGTCTCAGGCAGCTCCATTCAACACAAACTGCTTGGATTGTGAGCTGAAACCTCGAGGCTCTCCGCACTAAAAACCAAACCCTCGGGACACACACTGTAATCCTTTGCACACCACAGAGTGTATACTTTTTAGTTCGGCTCAGAGGGGATGGAAATCTCAGCCCAGGCTGAAGCAAAGGCAGCACAGAGGACCTGAAGTTTGCGTTCAGGTTCAACAAGGTGGGTGGCGAGAAATTTTCCCCAAAATTTATGAGCAATACTTGCGGATAATTCTTCCCTACAACACCGCTGTCACTTTCAGCTTCTTGGGAGCAGGAGGTGAAAGAAAGAAAAAAAAAAACAGTGCAGGGTAAATGAATACAACTCACACAAACTGACAAGCTTCTAAACCAGATGTCTTTCAGATAACTCTAAAGGAGCAGACGTTTTGATTGTTGAACAGCTGTGGTATGAGGTAAGTGGCCAAAGGTCACCAAGTGTCATCATTAGGTGAACTTGTCTTCTTGATGGCTGCCACCCTAACTTTACAGCTAATAAGCTGGCCGTGACACTAATGATGAGCAGCAGCCCGCCGCCACCGCACCTCCACTGTTGTCAAAGGAGGCACCTGTCTATTTAAATGAAGGCTGTAATGACTGTAATGACTCGAGCTCGCGCTGCTTCCGCTTGACTGCAACCCTTTCCTTTAAAAGTCGACAGAAAAGAAAACAAGGTGAGGAGAAGGTAATTTCTTCCACACCCATGCCGTACAATGTGTCTAGTTTGTTGAAGGGCTAACTCGATGAGCTTTTCAAGGCTCAGGCTGATCACTGTGTTCTGCTGGATCAAGTTTTCTTTGTGCCAACTTTTATCACTAGTATAAAGCCTTTGAAAGCAGTTTATAAACGTTAACAAACGTTACCATAAAATGATGTGTGACTATGATGCAAGAGCAGAAACCTCATGGTTTAAAATGATACTTTGACAATGAAAATAAATCTTTTATAGATAGCATATGGATGTATTTTAACTAGAATGCTTGAAAATTGTGGTTTTGTGTGACAACTGGAATGTTTGGCACTGTCCCAGTTATAATAACATACACTTGTTCAAGTGCTAGTTTCAAACCAAGCATCCAAAAGGGGAAGAACGGTGACTTGAACGTGGCATGATTGAAAGAGTTGATCAGCTGGTGTTTTTGCATGCAACCATCTCTAGGGTTTACAGAGAACGGTCTGAAAATGACACACAAAAAAAGAAAATGCCTTATTGGTGTTAGAGGGCAGTGGAGAATGAGCTAATGGGAAGGGAGAAGTAACACAAATAAGAAAAGATACTTACTTTGTGACTATAAGGTGACAATCAACCGACAACAAGGAATAAAAGTAGGTTTTAAAAAAATAAAAAGAACTATTTAAACGAAAAACCTGTTATACTCAAAATATGCAGAAGAGCATCTCTGATCACACAACACAAACACTGAAGGGCTACAGCAGCAGAAGACCACAAAAGGTGCCACTGCTGTCAGCTAAAATCACAACTCACCAAAATGGGACGACAGGAGATTGGAAAAATGTTCGAAGGTCTGACGAGTTGCAATTTCTAACTACAACGCTCACACTGCATGGTCAGAATTTTCTATCTTGCCTTGTACTAATGGTTCAAACTGCTGGTGGTGTTTTGGTTTTTCTTGGCACAAATTGGGTACCTTACCACCAATTAAGTATTGTTTAAATATCTCAGCCTGCCTTAGTTTTCCCCTCATAGCATAGTTTTAGGAAGGCCATGGAAACATTTCTCAGAGATTTTTGTCCATATTGATGTGATAGCATCGTATAATCGACCATACTTTGCTCATCAAGAATTAAAGCAGTTCTGAAAGCAAAAGAGAGTCCGATCAAACTCTAGTAAGGTGTATCTAATGAAGTGGCTGGTGAGTGAATGTCAGTATGTAGCAGAAGGAGGCTAAAATCACTTCCTCCTACTTGAAATCTCATTCAATTTTCCATTTCAGTTTATTTCCAGCACGACCGTACTGCGAAGCCAAAAGTCTCTTTGAAATTTCTTCTTTTATTGATGTTTCCCTTGAGAAAGTGCATTGTGATTCTTTTGTGAACCAACTGCATCATCTGTGAAAGCTGTAATTTGGCTGCACAGGAAGACACCAAAAAAACATGTAAACAAAAAGAAACGGCAGAAACAGATGTTTTAAGAGGGAGCTGGGCGCGTGTGCACGAGGCCGTGCACGAGGCCGCGCTCATGCCAGCGTGTGACTGGATATACTAAGTGTCTGACATGCGTTTTGTGCCAGCAGTTTTGATTCACAGGACGCCGCATGGAACATGGCAGCGAGCCTCGCCATAATGTCATTGGGGAAAATCATCCAGCTTCGTCTCTTTTGATCCTGCAAGAATCAAACGAACTGAAAAAAATTCATAGAGGTTTTATCCAATAACCGGGGAGACGTTAAAACAAAACGAAGGAAGCATGCCAGACACAAAGAAAATTTTGATTTGGGCAAGAACATGAAAATGTTTTATGGAACGTATTTTGATGCTGTCTAAAAGAATTTTGTAGAACTTGGTTTTTATTTGCCACTTAAGGCCTCCTTTAATGTTATTTGCATGTTCATATTAGAGGATTGGCATTGTGGGTGCGTTTGCTGCTGGTATCGAATTAGGTGACTTTAAAGTATCATTTAACAAAAACCACTTACAAAATATGCAAGTCTTTTTAGACAGCATTATTTAAGGGAGAGTTCAAGTAATCGACCAAGGTCACCAGAAGACAGAATTCATTCTCGCTTTATACTCCTGGATCTGCTCTTTTCTGAACTCAGCTGTTTCTGTCAAATTTTAAGGCCCACTTACAGGGCAGAATGACTGTAATCAGAAGTTAGTGAAGGTGGGCTCTGATTATGCAGCTACCTTTGGAAACTATTCTAATAGTTGTCAAACACTATTGTTATTGATGTATATACTGAGGGGGGAGGTTGTCAAACTTCGTCTTTCTAACTTAATTATAGACTAGAAATCAGATCAATGCTTTCAATGCATTTTGTCTGTCAACACAAAAAAACAGCAGGTCCAATTTCATGAAACTTGGTGGAGTGATGCACTGTGGGCATTCTGTTATGGATCTGGATCATTTTTATTCGTTTTCCTCTAAAACTGAATGAATGGCACAGGTTTCGCATTTGTTAACATTATGAACCAAACCCTGTTTGCTCATTAAAGTTGTTGTGTGTGTAAGTGAAGTAACCCACTTTCTCCAATATGAGCATCAGTGTATTAGATGCTATATAGAGACAAAGCACTGTGTGTGTCAGTGTCTGCTTTGGGCCCCAAACTGTGCGCGCATGTGTGTGTGTGTGTGACGGCCCAACAGTCCACATTCCAAACCGTGGACTGAAATATTCAAATATGGACCATGTGCGTGTCTACAGTTGGGTGGAAAAGCTTTCTAGAACAAGAGAGATCTGAGCTTTAAAGGCTCATATTAAATATTCATTTAGTTCCCCATGAGACCTGTACCAATAAAATGGAAAATTACAGACCAGGCCTTGTTATAAAGTGAGTGATTACTCAATGAATATGCTTTATAGGACGTCTTAGGGTAGCTCTTTGCAAACCAGCATTGAATTGCTGTAGCTGGACAAACAAATCATCGCTGTGTTTTCCACTTTCAAAACTGCATGTGCAGACTTCAGTATGAAGTAGGAATGCTCCATACACTAATATGTGTCTTTAGTTAAAATAATTATCAGAGTAAATATTAAACAAAATTACAGTGTATATTATCTTTTTGGTTCATAAGACCTGCAAGTTGCATGTTTTACTAACCTAAACCGATGAGGTGCTTGTGACACATGCACGAGCAGGTCTTTCTTTAGTTTTAAAGTTCCAGCAATATGTAAAATGCAATTCTCTCATAATCTGCAAGTTGTCTGTGGAATCTGCTCACAAACGAACTTATCTGAAGCTGTCCCTTGTATTGTGGTAATGAATAGACTGACAGAGAGAAAAATGGTTAGAGGAAAAGCGACTTACGTGGGCTCTTTTGGCAGAGACGTAGGGAGCGGATCTGGATCTGGAAAAGAAGACAAGGGGATTTTTTTACTACAGGATAAACAATATTGTTTCCAGATTTTTCTCTGTGCAAGCTGCCAGCTACAAGAAGAATCAGCTGAGATGAGTGCTGCTATGAGGAGCCAGATCTCTAGGAAAAGAAATAGAAATAGGTGGGGGGAAATGGACGGCAGTAAGTTTTTAAAAGTTTGGCTGTTTTATCAGTTTGAGATGCACAGATGCTTAGATGCTACTGGTAACAAAGTCTTCTCACCGAACTTGACAAACAGCACGCCCGTAGTGGAAACAGAGCCCTGGATGTTGGTGGCCACACACTGGAAGTATCCCGTGTCAGTAGTGTCCAGGCTGCGAATGCGTAGGCGTGATCCAAACAGCGTGGACCTGTAGGAGACCCGCCGCGGCTCCTGTACCACAGGAGCGTCGTTCTTAAGCCAGCGCACAGTGGGTGGTGGGTTTCCGGAGACACGACACAAAAGCTCGGCCGTCTGGCCCACGGAGGTGGTTATGTTGTTCATGGGAGCGTCGAGGCGGATGAAGTGAGGTCCTGGTAGGCAGTGTAGGTAGGATAAAAGAAAAGAATACGAGAGAGAGAAAGAAGAGACAGATGGTGATCATGTGGAGGTGACTAGAAGAAAAATGCCCTTTGCATGCATTCTTTACAGATTATGAAATGTATGTATTTTCTTTGTTCTTTTTAAATGTACTTAAAGATGTTTGTAGTGCAGTAAAAACAACTGCAAAGTGCAAGTTTTTGATTTTTTGTCCTGTTGAAGCCAAAGCCAATTTATTATACCTGATACACACACGCACACACATATACACATACATATATATATGTATGTGTGTGTGTGTATATGTATATATGTATGTACGAACAAGACCATGAATGAAGAAAATCAAGAAAATTGTACTACACAGCCAAGAACGATGACATAAATCAAACAACACTTACTGTACTACCTCAGAGCCAGATATTAAATAAAACATGCTGCTGTGTGAAAAAGAAACGCGGTAAAACAAACTCCGTGTTTTCAGACACACATATTCAGAGCCTGGTTTCACAAGTTATTTTGTGGTTGCCACTGTTGTGACACCTAATTTCTCTTTTCATCATGGCTGTATGATGCCAGAGGGTTTCCCCCTCAGATTTATGTGTATGAGCTCATGAGGCAATATCACCTGCGTTGCGGTCTTCGAAAAAAAGAAGAATCAAATTTAAAATGACTGGTTCCCAGTGTTTCGTGCCTGTTTTCAAACAGTCAAAACAAACAGCTCTTGATTACTGTTATGAATGAGAGGAATGATTACAGCGAGCAAAAACTGCCTCGCCATCGAAACCAATTCATGAAGGGTAATGCTATTAGAACACACTGCAATACAAAGATGAACTAAATCGTGATTCCCTCCAGAACCGTATTTTTCCCCTTAAGCTGGTCAGTAAAAAAAAAAACTATCTGGAGGGCCACCTAAGAGTTTAATGTGCAGGAAAAACATTGGTCTTAATGTCATGAAAAACCTCTGGAAAGTTCTCTCAACCCCAAAACCTGTGTTAGGTATGCAGAAATGCTCCTGGTTACACAAACTGGCCAAGACAAACAAATGAGGAAAAGCACATACAGAAGAATCTCAAATGAAAAATGAATGTGTGTGAATAGAGAGGTTGATGGGTATAAATAGAGGCGCACACTTACTTGTGCGAGTACACCAGCACTCAGATTTTTACTACTGTATTCCATGCAAGATTAACTTCAAGCTTTTCCAAGGAATGTTAAGAGAAAAATGTTATAGAGCGGTCAGAAAATTAACCGTATCAACATCGACGTCTATGAACTGCATAAAACAGTGCTCATTCGTATTACAGCCTCGTTTGAATAAACTTTCCTTGGGTTGGAGTGCGGGCCAGCTTTCTTTCACTGTGAGCATCCCGTGTTGTGGTTGGTGGAATGATGATGCAGTGTCTGTACAAAAGTTGGAGGGGCAGTCAGGCAGAAGAATGTGTAGTGTAACTTAGTAAAACGTGTACAGTGTAAGACGAAAAACTGCAATCACGCAAAAGGTGTCCACCTACATATTGAGCTTCATCGTGGGCAGTCTTTGTTTAAGGCTTTTGTAAAAGAAGAGAGAAGTCATCGGAAAAAATGGAACATGTGTGTACTTTATGTTCTTTGAGTGTTTGGTGTAAAAACCTGAGCACATGGCCTCTATCTCAGTGCATGTGCTTGGCAGGTTGTAGAACACACACTCACAGCTTCTTCCATAAAGACTGAGGGCTTAACACAGCACTGTGGTACTAACAAGTACCACCCCACCACCGTCTCCTCTCCCCATTTTTCACCAACCTTAATATGACCTCTTTTCTCCATGTGCTCTACACAGTCCTGTATCTCAACATTACAGCAGCGAGATCAAACCCTTCAGGAGTCCGATGCTTTTAAAGTCAGCTGGAACAATGACTGTAGACCTTCATCCAATTTTCCTTTTTATTTACTCCTCCACTCCACCACTGATGTGTGCACTTCATTTCCACACATAAAAACTGGAAATGCTTTAGCATGACATCACGTAGACACAATGCTCTGTCACAGGGCTTTGCCGAAAGCTGTGAACCTGTTTCATATTTATCTATGACAACGACACACACAAACAGAAAATATTCCCCGGGTGAAGCCGTCTCCGCGTGCCACTTGTTGGTTTTCATAACTTGTTTATCCAGCCGTTTTGCTACTTTGTGTTTTGTTTTACTTTGTCCAATCCGATTATGTTACTGTTTCTAACGATCTTAAAAGTCATGAGACGACCATAAACATACCGAGATCGGTGGCGAGATTACATTCCGTGTCTGTTAAGTCCAGTTTCACGCACATTAGGCAATGATATTTTCTTATTTAACTTCACTGTGGAGTGCTGTGTATACTCAATTTGTCGCATTAATCCTCTCACGGCTGCAAAAGGTAAAAATGTGCTCTGACCTCAAGTGTGGTGCAATCTATCACTGCCGGTCAGTCAAAATGCACTGGAAGTCCAGAAATCAGTTAAAGAGAAGAAAACGCTCTGGAATTTGTTGCTGATTTGTTTCTCAAAAGTAATTATGAGTCTGAAAGCATTCATTAAAGCAGTTAGACAGCTTTTAAACTTAAGGAGTAATAATTACGCTATTGGCATAATGTGCCTATTTCCTGATACTTGGTTTGCTTCGGGCTCTGTTTCTCTCCTTAGTTTACATTTTACTGCAATTTTTATGATTTCTGTCTGTACTGAATGTTGGAATGTCAGTAATCTGGTACTTCAGGGATGTCAAATCCCGGGTCTCATACAACCCACTTACTGTAGATCTCAAGTGGGCTGGGCCACTCAAGTTTCCCCTTTCAGTCAGTGTGAACAAGTTTAACACCTCAGATATCTTAATATGAGACAAATAAGTATCATTTTAACAGCCAGAAAATATTCTGGTAGCTTACTTCTCAGCTTTACTGTTGATTCAAAGAAAATGCCCAATATTTTCCATTTTAATTTTAAATTGGAAGTTTTCTGTCATTTAATTTTTTATCTATAACTTTATTACTTAGTTGTTATATGAATGCCCTTGGAGAGGAAATACCTTCAAATGTATAAAAACACAGTTAAAAGTCCAAAATTTATGCCCTTCTTCAAAATGTCCAAAGGTATCCATTGGGCCCGATCGGAGTCTTTGGTGGGCCGATTCTGGCACCCAGGCCTTATGCTTGGCAACCCTGTTTTAGTGAGTGGACTATGCCGTATTACTGCTTTTCCATTGACAAGAGGCTGGTGCCTAATGTACAACTGCTTCCATGAATTTTCATTAGTTGAGTTGATGGAAAATAAAAATGCTCTTTGGAGCGGTGTGCCTGCACACTTCATTAGCCGTTATAATAACTCATAATAAAGCAGCGGGGAGCAGAACGAAGAGCGAAAAAAGAAAAAGAGACAAGAGGAGAAGACAAAAGAAGAGAGGTCAAGAGGAAAAAAGAGAAGGAGGAGAAAGATGTCCTGCCAATGCCTGTGTAACAAAGCCACTCTGTATGTAATTGTCCCGTGGTGAGTGTTGTGGTATTTGGCACAAGGAGGATGCTGAAACTCAAACCCTTTCTGCGGACTGTCCCTTTAATGTGGCAGGGGAGCTAAATGGTGTCCTGTCATCAGCCTGCATTTTGCTTGCAGTAGTTTTTGCACAATCAAACGCTCACATGCAGGCACATATATGTAAACACCCGCACACCCACACAACCGCCAAGGAGACAAACTATACGTGCTTGAAAACTGCACACATTACTCAATACCTTTTCACGACATTGTATTCTATATGGTTTCAGTGAACATACGTACAGTAAGGGTGTGACCGTCGGGGCTCCTGTCAACAAAACGCAGGTTCAGAAACTCGAGTGGCTGCAAAGCTAACTAAACATATTCAACAGATACACTGAAGGCCTCGCACTATAGTGCTTCCAGCTTCCAGCTGTGGGTAAAGGTGAAGTTAATTAAAGCTGGGTCACTATCCAGCAAAGCAACAGAGGAAAGGAAGTAAAGAAAAAAAAGGGTACAAAACGAAACAAAGAAACAGAGAGGAATAATGAAAGAAAGCCTGCAGGGAAATGAGTTCAGTAAACTATCATCACCCCTGATTTCAGCCCAGTAATGAGCCTCTTTCAGCACGATAACTTCCTGCTACTGATGCATACTGATAGAGCCACGCTACCTGAATTGTGCCTGTTTGGTCAATCAAAACCATCCCCGCCTGCAGACAAAACAAGGGGTGCAATCACCCTCCATCCATTAGATAAGAAACAGATGTAAGCACAGGAGGGCTGAGCACTAAATGATAAACACATACACATATACTTTACGTTTATAGGTTTTTATATTTGATGATGTGGAAAAATAAAGCTCTCTGGATGATTTGTTTGGATCTCATTATATTTATGACTGTTTTTGAAAAATCCTTGATTGGTCAACATAATCATTATCTTCACTAAACTGCTCAGTCTTGTCCAGAAACTGGTGTGTGTCTGCTTTTGTGTACACAGAATTTTCTGTGGGAACGAAGCTGTGGGAGAGTTGGAGTTTCGAGAGATGAATTAAGCAAACCAGACGAAATGAGAGAGCCAAACTAAGGTTCGAGTTAAATACAAACTTTAAGTTGAGCATTTTCCAGTCAGTGTTTCTTTGTGAGAGGCAGATGTTTGCTCTTTTAGCCAAAGATAAACTGTGGAGAGGGGGTGCAATTTAACGGATACATATGGGCAACGACGTTGAGAAAGTACCCAGAAACCTATCGCATCCCACATACATCGTACTTACTGATAAGTTTGTTCTCTTGCAAAAGCATTGGACTTGTCATTGAACACATGAATCCACGAATCTATCTGCAAGCAGCTAAAGCAATCATGTGGAGGTTTTTGATGCAGCCCCTTCCTTGTGACCGACTTCCCCTAGCAACAGCAGGCAACCTCCAACAAACCTTCAGCAACCATTTGTGGAATATACATTTTTTCTTCCTAGTGGCCTAGTGTTGCCCGCAGGTTACTCACAGTTATCTGGCCTGTGTGTTGGTCAGCAATCGATTTTTTATTACCATGCTCAAACAAGCGAGCTTGTGACAGCAAATTTTCTGGGAGTTACGAGGAGACCTTTTATTTTAAAATGTTCTTCATATCAGCAGTACAGGAATCAGAATAATGGAAATGGAAATAAAGGAATAATGTTTATTTGGGGAAAAAAATCAAAGTAACCAAGGAAGGAAGACATTCTGGTGAAGCTCAGTTCCATGCTTAAGACGACTGCTTAGAAAGAAAAATCAGAGACAAGTGAGGGAATCAGAGTCCAACTCTGTTTATATAATGTCAATAATCTGCGCTTATGAAATGAAAACTGTGCAAATCAAACATGAGAGGACTGTGGAGTACACTGATTATGCAGTGCAGAACCACAAGAGTTACTGTGCTGTTCCTCTGTGAAGCCAAGTGTTTTGGCCAGCTCTAACAAACAAGCCCACCCAGGGCTCCATATATGCTTGAAGCTAAAGACACAACAAAGAATAAAATGGATGCTGTGCAAAGAGAAATTAAGTCATATATTGTCCTTAACTCCATCCCTATATTTTGGAGAAAAAACAAACACAGGCATTTTTTCCACAAAAAACTGAATAGATTTGATGCATGTCATTTGGGCTGATTGTTCTCTTTGTTCCCTGATTGCCAAGACTTTGTGGAACAATTTAATATAAAGGAGAAAAAAACATATTCTAATTGTTGAGGGTCAGGGTTAGGGTTAGGGCTGGGCTCATTGTGATGAAAACTTAAGACCTCAGAAGTACTCAAGTGCATGTCCAGAGCCCACAAATGTTGGTATAAACATGAGGTCAAAATGCAAAGTTTAAGAAGATGTACTAAAAGCAGCAGCACCTTGGAGACTACACTGGTATTTTCCACTTAAGAAAGAGTAGATGTAGATGTAAAGAAATACAATGCTCCTGTGGCTGTATTTCCATATGTTGAGTAGATCAATGTGCAATTTGTTCTGTCAATTATCTGCTCTAGTGCCTTACACTGCAGTGGGTGTCTGGGTTGCTGAAGTCAACCATGTGGAGGATGTGTAATTTTTAACACTTCATTTAAAGTAATTTCAACAGCACATGTGGGGTTACAGTTCAACACTGCGTGTGTTAATTTGAACTATGAACATGTCATCATCATGTTGTCTCTAACAGATGTGCTCATAGTTTTGCCAGAGTGAGCTTTGTTAAGAACGTCATGCATGGGTTATCTGTGGTGTGTGTGTGTGTGTGTGTGTGTGTGTGTGTGTGTGTGTGTGTGTGTATTTACCATCGCTAGAGGTGTTCCACAAAGTGGCAGCTTGCATACTGGGATCTTGGGGGAACTCAGATCCTGTGAAGAGAGGAAATGAAAAGCAGAAAAGCAAAACTTTTATTTTTAAATGCTTAAACATTAAATGCTTTAAAAGGTTGAAGAATTGATGTCTTGCATATATTTTCCACTAGCAATATGATGATGATGTTGATGTTAATGCTAATTACCAGTTAATGCTAACTACCAGTTAGCATTAACATGGGTTGTATCTGATGCTTTTGTGTGTTTTTAGTATTTATGACATAGACAACTTATTTATGGTCGGAGACTCAACAAACTGCAAATGTTTGCAAAAAGCAGCAACTGGCAAGGAAACTCAGTGAAAGGTGCCAAATGATTGGAACCTTTCAAGCAAGTTTTCAGTATCAGATATCTGCACAACATAATTGCAACATGTAACAAATGGACATGAATTAAGTAAATTGAAACTACAGGGTTTTTATAAAAAGTCAACATAGCCAAGTACCCACTTGAGGCCTCACACTTAAAATGAAGACTCTCACAATCCTGGTGCTTTGAAACAAGACATGATGAGAGAAGGGTAGATAACTGTTGACTCACTGGAGTCCACCTACTCCACTGATAAAACCACTGGTTGCAAGAAAAATGTTTGTATTCCCCAACTGGTGGGTGAGTCCTTATTGGAGGTTCCTGACTGTTGCTAGGTGATATTGGGCACAAAGAGGGTGCTACACTAAAAACTTCCTTAAGCTTGCTTTGGTTGCTAGCAAATAGTGTGGAAGAGGCTGATTTGCCTGCAAACACTACTGTTTTGCAGTATGTAGCGATACTCAAAAAAGTAGATCACAAAGTGGAAGTAGAGGACATCTACCCAAATCAGAAATGGCACATGCCTTCTTTTAGAGTGAAAACTGGGCTTCAGCACTGCAGCCAACATGTTTCAAAAAAACGTTTATTTTGAAAGCGAGTCTCTCAGTTTCCAGTTTGTGCCACACTTTTTACAATTTCCCTCCTTTTTAGAGAGTAGTTGGCGAGTGCTTGGGCCCAAGTTATCATGTTTCATGCAAACCACAATTTCCTAGTGACCAAAGCTATTACAAAGATGTTTTTGCCAGCCGGTTGGGGCTTGCACTTTTTTCTCTATCAACCTGTGGTTGCCACTGGATGACTGACCATTCTCTAGGCATATGTCACTGGGGCTTTATCAATTGATTTCCCAGAGACTGTCATCAACCTCCAGCAACCACTCACCAATAGTCGGGGAACACACGACTGGTGGTCAGCGGATGGTCCTGAACGAGTCTCTAGGCCTGTGTGGCTGGGCCTTATTCACTTGACCCTACATTGTCACCATTATTGTCATGTTCCTGCAAAACATCAAGGTAACTTGACTTGTGTTTACAACAGCTAGTTTAAAAAAACAAAAACAATCAGCTTTACAGCTGCATTCTTTACACCTGAAAGCTATATCCAAATGTAATCCACATGGTTGTGACAAACTCAAACTTTCTGAGCCAGTGGCATGGACCTACATTTAAACAATGCTTAACCACAATTCTGGAGAAACTATGTAAAATACTGTGTACAGACACAAACACACTGCTTCTTAAATGTAAAATAACAGTGGTGATAACGCTGTACATTTTCTAGTGCAGATCAAAGGTTTGGGTGTACAACAGGGAGCCTATCAACAAGCCATGTGGACCTAATGCGCTCTTATTACCAGCTGAAGACAGAGCTGCTCTCTGCTTTTCATTACTGGGGAGAAGAGACAGAAAATCGGCTTCAGAGTGCAGTGCTGCAGGTCATAGGTGATTCCTAACAAATTAAACAGCCAAAAATGAAGGACTGGCAAAAAAACTCTAAGCTGTTTTACCTTCACTGATTCTCAGGGCACCAGACCGCTGACAAACTTTCAGTTCACATACAACATCCCACAGTTCTAGCCGGCTACAACAGTGTGTGAGTCTGTGTGTTTTGGTGCAGGCTGGGATAGTTCAGCATGATGAATAGGCAAATGGTTGCTATCCAACTTTGGGAACGTAACCTAAAGTCACAAACGGATGTGAAAATGCAAGCATGTGCATGGACACCGCTGAGAATTGGCTGCAAACTTAACTATACACATGGTGCATTTGTTTCACACATACACACGAAAAATACAGAATTCCTAAACACGTCATAAATATTTTTGAATTAACAACTTGAAAACTGACAGTGCGTGGCATGCAGGGTGACAGTCGAGGAGAGAAAGTCTGCAGACAAACAGCACCAGGAGCCTGGTGACACAGGGTCACGCTAATTGGGTGATAATGTGTCAGGATGGTAACGACTATGTGGTGGTGCTTGTGAAATGAACTGTGTTAATGAGCAGCGCTTTGGGCCTCAGCACCTGTTAGTGAGGAGTCTGGAAGCTTGGCAACAGGCTCACAACAACAGGCTCACAGTTATGGGTGTTATGTTCATGACTGTTAGAGATATGTAGCAAACCCAGAGGGCAGACATAGAATCAAAATGTGTCTCTTCACTAAATTAGTAGTTCTTCTGTAATGCTACCTGATTCCACAAGCTATTCTGCACTTTTGGAGTTAGAATGACTTGCTGGTTTCTTCCAGGAGGCTACTAACAGTGTCTTATGGCATGTCCCGGCCCCACGGTGAGTCTAAATTTACTCTGTGTTCTCTACTGTTAGACTAAGAAGTCTGGAGCTCTGTGCTTTACAAAGGACAGAGGAGAGTGGACGTCGCAGCTCACTAGCTTCACCAACACAAAGCTAGCCAAGGGCAGCCAGGTGAGAGTTCAATAGAAGTGGATGGTCGTGGGAATATAGTGAGGGAAGGGGGAGGAGGACGAAGTGCTCGTTTATGGAAAAGGAGGCACAACTGTGTACTTCTGAGAAAAAAAAATGTTATCATTCCAGAAAGATTTGAAGTTTATAATTTTGTTCAAAAACAAACACTTGTGCACAGCGATTTTGCTGTTATGTCTAAGGTCTGCTTACTTCCTGCGTTTCATTTTTTTCCCACATTGTGCGCCCTTTAAAGAGAACACATCTGTTCTCTTTCATTAAGACAATCATCTGAAATATCTAGGAGAAAATGCAGAGCAATTTTGAGATTAGCTTTCTAATGTTTCTCAGCAGTGGAGGGGAGCTGTTGTATTAGACCTGTTTGTTAAAAAGGACCTAAAAATAGATCCCTGGTTTCATCAGCTGTGGTTCTGGCCATTGATTGAATCACGATTTGGATACTGACTGCAAGACCCATATGTACCTCTGTACTGAATCCCTGTCTGTCAATATGAATAACCAAAGAAGAACAAAAGCATTGCTTGCATTATAATATAGGGAGGAAGAAATCGTGCACATATGTGTACCAGTCAGGTCTTTCGACCATGAACAGGCTGTTTCCAGTAACATTGTCTCAGAGTTGCAAACATTTTAAATTACTGAGGTGGCAGATCAGAAAATAGTGATGAGAAGGGAAACCGAGATAAGGAGTTTCAACAAACTCAGCCTATTTTTTGCAGTGGTCAGGAGAATGGCCAGACTGGTTGGCGCAGATAGGAAAGCAACAGTAACTTGTAACAAACAAGGTATTTAGACGAATCTGAGTGCCCGCGTCAAACTTTGACGCAGACGGAAGCAGCTGGTGTACAGCCAGGTGCTCCTGTTATCAGCCAAGAACAAGAAACTGAGGCTAGAGTTCACATGGATTCAGCATAACTGGATAACAGAAGATCGGAAAAATGTTGTCTGGTCTAATGAGTCTTGATGTACTGTGAGTTTGCTGTACTCAAATGGCCTCTACAGTCATCAGATTTCAGTCCAACAGAGATTCATATCATAGATGTGCACCACGCAAATCTGCAGCAAATGTGTGACGCTATCATGTAAATATGAACCAAAATCTTGGAGAAATGTTTCCAGCAGCAGATTGAATCTATGCCTTGAAGAATTTTCAAAGTCAAAAACAGGTTCAACCCAGACCTAGCAATGTGTACCTATCAAAGTGATCTAAGAAAGAAAAGCAACTGGACTTCTTTACGTTTCTCAAAAAATACCTCACCTCTCGTCTGAGAAGCTTGGTGGAGAGTCCAAGGTATTTAAGGCTCAGTTGAAGTTGTCCCTTAAGTGGGAAATTGACCTAGTATTGATCATGTGCCTCTTTAAACTGAGCCAAGACGTGAAAAAGGCTATTGGTCATTATCAGCAGAGGTTTTGTGTGAAGCCGTTGCGCTTATCAAGTGGCTCAGCCACTCCAAAAATGCATGGCACAACACAGAAGAGACACCTGGACAGGATGAAGGTCACATTTTGATAATATTTTTACCGTTCACATTTAGGCATCTGAAATAGGGATAAGATCAGAATGCAAGTTTTGTACTACAAGAGTCCAGCTAACTTTAAGCTGTGCTTCTGCAGTTTCAAATAATTTCCATTTCAAAAGTCACAAGTTACTTTTCCAGATTTTCCAGATTTCCATATATTTCCACTGGTTTTTATTATAGTGATGATTATCACAACTGTTAAAAACATTTTTATCTCTAAGTACTGTCGAAGGCAAGCAATTGGACTTCACTTGGAAAAATAAAACTGTGAACATATTTTCCATAGCATGTCAGAAGTGACACTTTTAAAAATTCAATTCTGGTATGGCAGTGAACGCCCATCAAAATTATGGATACGTGACAATCTTTATAAGAGTATCATGTTCCCTTCTTGGCTGCTTTGTCATACTTCATTCACGTTAAAGGTTTGGAACGTCCTCTTTCATTTGCAGCTGAGTGCCACTCCTAGTAGCAAAATATGCAGTAAATGGTTAACGTGAAGGTGCCTCTGAGAAGTCCAGACATCAAATCTCCACACAGAAAATTCCATGAGAGCAGCCTCTGATCCCCGTCCAGCTGTATTTGGCTTACGATGATAAAAATCAGGCAGGGACACGAGCTTAACCCCCATAAAGCTCTCCGAAATTGGTGTGACTTTACTGTCGCAGCAGTGTATGGCAATTAGTGCAAATCTTTAAACTCGAAGGCTTGGGAATGAGGAAAAGGAA